TGGATGGCCTACCTGCCTGTCAGCCTTCCATCTGTGCACAAACTTATCTCGTGCCCTCATTGGTCATGTGCGCGTTCGTGTGTGTTGGAGGAGGGGCTCTGTGAGGAAGTGGCAGATTTTTTCCAGCTGTGTATTTTCAAATTCTAGCACTCGAGCTGGTTTCTCCAAAATTACAGACAAATAAGACGAGAAGTTCTGAAAATGACTTGACCATAAAGAAACACCGCCATTACGATATTAATGCTATTTTATTTCTATTGCGATGTTTACATTTTGGAATGTTTATTTCTAGTTTTTTTCTTTTTTAATGTACAATGCCATGTCTTTATGCTGCTGCAACGCAAACATGTCCCACATTGGGATCAATAAAGTACTTGTCTTCTTCCCTCTTACAAAGGCGCTCCTGCAGTCTCTTCCTGCTGGAGCGTAAGAAACAGAGGAACAGTAATGTGGAAAGCTCTCCTTTTATTCAGTCCTGGTTGTCTCGGCAACTGGGACGGGGAGCGTTCCTACATATTTATCATATCCCAGGGAAAAGATTTAGGGTGCTTGTTCTTTACTTGAGTATTTCAGGTGTTCATAGGTTTCTGGTGTGATCCGTTTTAGGGTTTTAAAAGCCATTACGATATAAGGCCATATCGGGTCTCATGTCACAATATCGATATCTCAGCTCTCTTTACCTGAAAACTTTAATACCCGTTTGGCTTTGATCATTTTGAAGTTATCCCATGGGAAAATAAAACTTAAATTGTGAGCTTCGTCGATAATGCCCCAGTTTTGTTGGACTGTTTGATGCTTTCTATGAATGTAATTTACTAACGATCCCTATATCTTACATGTATAAATCTTATGCACCCAGGACATCCTATCCAGAGATGATTTATTTGAAAATATTCCCATTTTAACAGTAAAGTTAAACAAACTCTCCCGTCTTCTCTCCTGCAGACTCTTGGCACAAAGCCCATCGCTCACATCGACCACTTCATCCCAGAGATGCTGGGGTCAGCCGAGCTGGCAGAGGAGGTCAGCCTGGACGGATCCGGAAAACTGGTGAAGGTACGCATCGAGAGGAGGCTCTGTACTGACAGTTTGAAATCAATGACGTGTATCCCTGGCTTGAAAACAATGTAAATAAGTTAAAGATTTCTTAAGAGAAGGTTAAAATAATATGGTTTTAAAATGCAAAACTGAGTGACTAGTTCAAAGGTTAAAAAGGTTTGAGTTCATAAGCATGTTTTACTTACTGTGAATGTGAGTTAGCAGTTCTTTAGAGAAGGTTAATAAACTTAAATGTGCTTTAAAAACTGTAAGTTAATGAGCATAGCTTGTTTACTGTGTATACGAGTCAGCATGCTTAGTTCACATCCTAACTAGTTCACCTGTCAATCTTTGCTTTCCTTATTATAATTTGAATGTACTAAAATGGCCAGGCAATACGATGTCATTCTCAGGAAAAGGGGTTGCACTTAGTCCATCTAATCTATAGACGTTAACACCTCCAGTAAACGTTGGATGTTCCCCCCCCCCCACAGATCACAGGTTGTGCCAGCCCCGGGAAGACGGTGACCATCGTGGTGCGAGGCTCCAACAAGCTGGTGATCGAGGAGGCCGAGCGCTCCATCCACGACGCTCTGTGTGTCATCCGCTGCCTGGTCAAGAGGAGGTCAGTCACTACTGCCGAGTTTATTCCACAGATATCACGGAGAAGGGATCAATGGGGGGAGGAGAGAAACAATTCCTCCCTACAGAGATACAATCCTGATGCATGTTTTAGGCACTGAGTACAGGAACAGATTCCCTCTTACAAAGGCGCTCCTGCAGTCTCTTCCTGCTGGAGCGTAAGAAACAGAGGAACAGTAATGTGGAAAGCTCTCCTTTTATTCAGTCCTGGTTGTCTCGGCAACTGGGACGGGGAGCGTTCCCACATATTTATCATATCCCAGGGAAAAGATTTATGGTGCTTGT